TTTTTTTTTTTTTGGTACAAGGACCTTCCGATTTCCGGATCCACAGGGGAACCGACTAATCCGGAATCGAGCCGGCTGGACCACAAGGGCGGCAAAGCTCTCCCTCAAGAGTTTTTAACACTGCTGCATTCCCAAGTCTCGAACACGAGACCACTGGTTAAGCTGGAAGCCAAGCCATCACATTCAAGGCGCTCTTGGTTCAATATTTCTTTTTGTTCAACTTTCTTGCTTATGTTTCATCCGAGTTTTCTATGAACCAACTTGATTGTTTTTTTCTTACGGAGCCATCCGCCTACACGGCTCTCACGTGGCAAAAACACGCGAGGGTAAATGTATCATTGCACATAGTGTGAATTTCGATCCAAGTTTATTGAGTGACTACTACATAGTCTAGCACTGTTACCAAAAAAAAAAAAAAAAAAAAAAAATACTTAGGTCTTTTTTCGAACCAATTCCTATTTTCTTTAGAATTTTCCATGGCCAATAATCCACAACCAGCTTAGACAAACGCCCGTAAACACACCTCCAACGAGAAACGCGACCAGCAAATTTCCCAATGCATTCTGCTCCGGTGCCTGAAAATGTCGAATATTTACAATTTGTTAGGGTCAAACTTTCTTAATTTTACGTTAAAATTAAATTTCGTCGAACTCACTTTGTATCCTTTGGGAGCCACTGTAAGTACACATACTGTGAGATAGCCATTAGTTAGTCCTAAAAGGGAAACCAATGTTATCATCCACCCTTGGTCTCCGTATTTCGCTGTGAAATAGAAACACGGGACGAACAAAACTCTCAATAACGACGCCATAAATAGGGCTTTTCGAGATTCTAATTTGATGAAGTCTGCAAGAGGGATGTATCTTGATATGAGATCCCATATGTTGAACATGGCTACTAGGACAACAGTGTACCTACAAATGCATGCAAAGAAAACAAAAAGTTAACAAATAAAATTTATTATAAACAAATTAATATTAAATGAAGTGGTTAAATGTAAGTACACATATGGATTAGTTTATGGAGCACATTAATTGGATTCATTTTTGTTGGGAAGTTAAAATTATTTGGCTTTTATATGTGAGTAGTAATAATATTTGTTGGAAAATTGTGTAAATAATAATTTGGTATTATTAATAATGTAAAAAAAAAAGAGTTGAATGATAGATAGGAGAAACAAAAGTAAATGTTGATGGATAGTAACCTATTGATTTCTTCAAACAAATTAAAGAATTCAAATCTTGAAGAGAAATCCCTAACTAAATGTGTTATAGTTAGAGTATTTGTTAAACGAAATAAGCTACTCGTCAGTCGGTTCGCCTCTGCTCAACTTGTTTGAAGCCGTTTAAAATTCGTTCAGTTAATGGACTTGAAAAAACTAGGGATATTTATGTAATTTTTTAAACTTTTCGTATAATTAATTTAGCTCGTTAAAGTTCGACCTCAACTCATCTAATGATCCGAGCTTGAGCTCTCGCTTATTGGCTAAATAACTTAACGAGCCAAACTCGACTTGATTCAACTCAATAGAGGCTTGAATGGGAACTCGGTCAAAAATATTAGCACTTGATTCGACTCGACTCGACTCGACTCAATTAGAACAACAATTATAGCTACTACATTTAGGCCAACTTACCATGACCTCAATTGGTGCACACCAGTGTTCTCATACAAAAATCCAGGAAAAATAGACAATGTGACTGCATATATCAGCCACAAGTCTAAGGCATAATCAATATTCTCGTGTAGCAATTGCTTGTTGCTTAGCCTTTCGTAATTAGGATCATCCACCTAAAAATAACAACAAAATAAATAAAAATTTTCAAATGTGAAATTTTAATTAAATAAAATTGATTAATAATAATAATAATATTATTATTATTATTTAAATAATTTCATTACCGGTTCAATTTGGGTAGACCGGACCGTTTTGGACCCTTCTGAAACCGCCTTCTTGTGAAAGTACCTCACAATTGGCAAGTTGTTGAATGCGTACCCATAAAGCAAAATACACAACAGCTCAAAAAGAGTAGTGATGGCTAGAAACAACACTGCATTAAAAATTATTTTTTTTTTTAAAAAAAGTAATTACAATCTAACAATCAATTTTATCAAACAAATAATATTTCAAAAATTATAATATTGGAAGATGCTACGGTCCCGTTACGGAACCATTCCGTCGGGATTTGTAACCGTAAGATCAACTATCTCTGACGGTTACATGATGATCTAACGGTTACAAACCTGGACCGAATGGTTTCGTGTAAAAAAATAAAATAAAAAAAACTTACTAACACCCTTGCGAAGACCATTGTGAGTTTTATCAAAAGCCGCTTTAGTTATAAGCCTCAAGCAAGAAGTAAGAGTTCCTGATGCAGCGACTCCCGCAAAAAATGACTGCAATTTTGTTTTAAAACATAATTAATAGTGATAATTTGTATATTATTTTTTAAATAAAATAAAATAAATAACAAAAAGTAGTTGCAATATATATGTTCAAAGATTCTAATGTTAATTTGGTCAAGTTGGATCCAATATTTTAAAATATAGTTTGGAAATACATAAAGATAGGCAAAATTGCAACTTTAGTGATGTTGATTTAATTCAGTGGTGTTTCTTAGTTCTAAGAATTGAACATTTTTGTTATTTAGTTTCATAATTTTAAAATTTAACGCATTTTTAGTCATTTAGGACTGAAAATGCAACAAAATTTTAAAATTACTGAATTTAAATTGCTAACAATTTTTTTTTTTGGATGGATTTTTGACTAGCAATTTAAATTTTAATTTTAAATTTTGTTGCAATTTCAATGCTCCATAATATGTCACTTTCGGGTGATTTGGAGTAGTTATAACTTTTTATTCATTCTTATAATCAAGTTTTTAAAATAATAAAATATTTTGAACAATTTAAATTATAAGTAAATACATTACCTAACTTTTACCCTTTAATTCTTCAGTTGTTATCATCTTTTTTTTTTTTTAATTTAATATATTATATGTATTAATTAAATAACTTTCTGTAATATTTCGATTTGATATTTATATTAATTACATATTTATAATAATATTACCTTCTTCTGCAGATATACATAATTTTTAAAATGTTCACTATTTTTATTTTTATTTATTTATTTTTTTTGCCTCAAAATAAAATAAAATAAAATAAATACCTGCACAAATTGAGGACACATGAAAGATAATTCACCGACCACACCACCTTCAACATGGGCAGTTGAAATACCAAAACCAGCCACACAAATGCACACGCCAATAAAAGTCCCAAGCCCTCCTTTACCGGACGACACTAAGTCTATCTACGTACCAAATTATATATATATTATACAAAATTAATATTTTGTGTTAATAAAATTAAAAAAATTATAATATTTAGTGCAAACTCGGAAAACTAATTATCGAAAAATATTTACGTAGGAAAATAAATAATAACAATAATAGTAGTAGTAGCAGTAATAATTGATAATAAGATGATGATGATTATGATTATATGATGAACTCACCAGGAGTAGCCCGAATATGCTTAGTGTGAAAAGTATGTAACCGAACAAATTTCTCTTTCTCGTGTCGATTTTCGCCTCGTTGTACGCTAGGATGGCCAATGTCCCGAGCGCAAATGGCTGAAAAACTAGTGGAAGTGCCCTTGCTGGGTGGTAATACTGCAGAATATTCAAATCACAACTGTGTTATATATAACTTGTAAAAATATTACGAAGATCGACATATATTGTAAGTTGTAACTTGTAAGGATCGAATTCGAAATAGAGACGTAAAAAAAAGGTGATGAGTGCCAAAGTCTGCATTATAAGAAGATTGGCGAGAAGAAAGAATCTAGATAGTGTGCACGACTTTTGAAGTTGTGCAATGTAAGGGGTAGGACCTATAAATGAGCCGAGCCGAGCTCTAGCTCGGCTCGTTAAATAAACGAGTCAGAATCAATCTCGAGCTCAGATCGTTTATCACTATAAACGAGCCGAGTTCTAAACGATCTGAGCTCGAGCTTTAACGAGCCGATCCCGAGTTTTAACAAGTTGAACTATAGAAAATTATATAAAAAAATTCTCTTATCAAGTCTTAACGAGCCGAGTCGAGTTCGATCCTTTACCCAAATGATTTTTAAATGAGCTCGAGCTCGAGCTCGAGCTCGAGCCAAACTCATTTAATTTAACAACACTAGGAAGAGAAAAGGTATAATTTTCGACTCACCGGTTGTGAGCTCGAGCTCGAGCCAAACTCATTTAATTTAACAACACTAGGAAGAGAAAAGGTATAATTTTCGACTCACCGGGTACAACTGATAGTAGTAGTCTCCAATTGTGAGGATGCTATTCCATGAGAGGGTAACTCCAAGCCCAAGAAACCAACAAACCACAATTGCCTTAGTCATTCCCTTCAAAATTTTATCATCCAAATGAATTTGATAAACTTTGAGAACAATTTGAATAATCAAACACACACACACACACATATATATAATTAAACACATATATATAATTAAACATATTATATATATATATGTATATATGTGTGTGTGTGTGTATATATATATATACCTCATGAGGCATGGTGGAACTTGAGATCACATTTGAATCACATCCATTCATTTTTACCCTATACATAACGAAGAAGTGGCCATGTAAATTGAAGGATAAGTGTGGAAAAATTTGACAATAATGATAAATTAGGACAAAAAAAAGGCAAAAAATTGAGAAATAACACTTCATACCTCTAATTTTATTGAAAAAGAATCCAAAAGTTGGTGTGTGTTAATTTCACAAAATCTTTAAACACGAGATTCACAATCACAGCTAAAATATTGTTGCACACACTTACAATGTGAAAATAGCTGATTGCGTTTTAATAAGCTTCATAGATTGCTTATTATATATAGAGATAAAGTGTGACTGAATAGCTAATTAAATAACCATAAATTTGTGTGTAGGTAACTCTAATCGTTAGGCGAGTTCTTCTGTCATGCTATCTGCAACAAAAATATGCATATGTATATTATGAAATATCATATTTTTATTTATATTAAATTAAATTGTGTATTAAAATATTACTAGGTATTCGAAGTGTGCATTTGCACAAATATAAATAAAGTATTGTGAATTAATAATTAATAATTTTTCTTGCACTTTTTGCAGGTCAGATTTAGAATTAAAGGAGTTGGAATATTTATTTTTTAAATTGGTACGGTCCCGTAACGAAACCATTTTGTCGGGGTTTGTAACCGTTAAATCATTATGTTACTGTCGGAGATAGTTTATCTAACAGTTATTACCCGACGGAATGGTTCCGAGACGGGACCGTAACATCTCCCACAACCTTTTTTTTATTGAACAATCATCAATTCTGTTAATTGTAACAACCTTATTGATTGAATAATCATCAATTCTATTAATTGTGGGACGGTCTAGCTAAATGTCGCACATTTCTATTTATCATAATTTATTTTTTTTTAACAAATTTGCCTACTTGTATAATAAATATTTGTACTTTTATTTATTTTATTTTTTTATATATCACACAGAAGGAGAATTTTTTCCTCAAATATATCTTCTCTTCATTTTATAAAGTTTGTTCAAATTTAATAAATGGCGTGAATTTAGAAATTATTACTTGCATTAGGAATTAGTGTCGCATTAATTTGATTCATTATTCTCCTTTTTTGGCCATGTAAGTAATTAAGGTGTAGAAAAAAGGGGTGAGAGCACTACTGTTACAGATGCCCTAATCACATCATCACATGGCAAAAATTTTAGAGAAATTAAATCAGAATTTAGTGACAATAAGTTGGAAAATATTGACATTTTGTTTATTCTAATATTTTTACACATATATATATATATAAAACATATGTTTTGTTCTGCAAGATAAATTTCAATATTATAAAATACAAAATCTCAACTTCAAAGACAAAATATAAAGAATATTTGCAGTTTGTGTCATCAACATTGCAGGGCTTGCTCAATTTTAGCGGCAAAATTTCATTTTTGGTCCATTATATTGAATGGTCCACTAATTTGGCAGACATCAAACTTGATGCAATAAGTTGTAAAATTCATCATTTTTAGTCCATAAGCCTACGTGGCGTTTTATCGGGCGAATACGTGGACAAGTTTGATGTCCGCCACGTAGGCTCGTTATCCAGCCCAAGTGATTAATGAACCAAAAATGATGAATTTTACAACTTATTATATCAAGTTTGATGTCCGCCAAATTAGTGGACTATTTATAGAAAATGGCCAATATAATGGATCAAAAATGAAATTTTACCCAATTTTGGCCCTACTTCTATTTCTAACAACACATCAAAGTAAATATGAAAAGGGTTCTCTTAATTTAATTAGGATTTTTTTAGGTTCAATTAAAGGTAATAATTAATTACTTTTGAAAAAGAGAGTTAGTGAATCATTTTCCTTTTACTACAAATATTAAATAATTTTAATTTACGAGTGACGAGGAACATTGAAATATGACTAATGAGATTGTTAGTTGTCTCACATCGTCTATACAAAGAAAATAGGTATAACTTATAAGTCTAGTGGCTATTCCTACCACCAATTGGTTTTAGGATGAAACTCCACCAAGACTCATCTAAGCTCACCCTGCTTTGGTGCGCTTCACGTTCGTGAGACTGCAGCCGTCAACCCTCATTTCTTCATGGTATCAGAGCTGGTTCACCCAACCCAGTTGGACTTGGGCCTACGTGGGACCATGCAATGACCCGTCACCCAGCCCAGTTGGGCTTGCGCTTCATATGAAAGACTCACAAGTGAGGGCCCTGAATACATACTTGTGAGTTGTCTCACATCGTTTATACTGGAAAAATAGGCCTAACTTATAAGTCTAGTTGGTTGCTCCTCCTACCACCAATTGGTTTTAGGATGGAACCCCACTAAGGCCCATCTAGGCTCACCCTGCTTTGGTGCGCTTCACATCCATGGGACTGCAACCGCCAACCCCCGTTTCTTCATGATATTAGAGTCGGTTCACCCAACCCAGTTGAACTTGGGCCTAAGTGAGACCATGCAATGACGTACACATCACCCAACCCAGTTGGGCTTGTGCCTCATATGAAGGACTCACTAGTGAGGGACCGTGTTAGAATATACATGTGAGTTGTCCTATATCGTCTATGCATGGAAAATAGGTCTAACTTATAAGTATAGTGAATTGCTCCTCCTACCACTAATTGGTTTTAGGATGGAACCACACTAAGGTCCATTTAAACTCACCCTGCTTTGGTGCGCTTTGGACCGCACCCGTCAACCCTCGTTTCTTCATATAACTTACTTGTATATTTTTGTATATATAATAAACATATATATGAATATTAAAAAAAAAAATATCATCATGTGTTTAAAATGCTCAAATTGGAATTAATTAAGTACGCGTCTTTGCTAATCAACTTTCAATTAATATAAACTAATCTTGCAATCTTTTTGCTAGTCGAGACGTATTATAATTTTCATAAAAAGTTGAGAATAAAATGCTCAAATTGGAATTAATTATGTGTCTTTGTTAACTTCAACTTTCAATTAATATAAACTAATCTTGATATCTTTTTGCTAGTCAAGACGCATTATTGTAATCTTCGTAAAAAGTTGAGAAAGAAAAAAAAGGCACCTTAAAATATAAAGAGAATTTAATGAAAATGAGATACGTAATGCATGAATTATTAAATTAAATAATATTGCTTCTTAGAAATTTACGTCGTTCAATACCTCTCAATAGTAAAATTAGTGGAAATTTGCAAAATTTTGGAATAGGTGAGATAAGAAAAATAAAAGTGAGACAAGAAATTAACATAAGTAAAATTTGATATAGTAATATTTGTCACGATTTTATTACTTTACACATTACATCACATTTAAAATCAATTATGATAAAACTTATACATTATTTTTTGTCATTCTTTATATCGACCAATTACATTAAAGTAGTTTTATTCCAGAAAATATAGGCTTATCTGACACTTAATAATAGTTGTTAGCTGATTAAATTAATTATTCAATAGTTGATAGCTGGTTTAATTACCTTATATCGGATAACTGATTGAATTAACAGTTTCGACTAGCTTATAATTGAATTACTTAAATGATCATGCAAAATGAGAGCTATTTAATTAGCTTTTTTTTTTTGGAAATATATATGTTATAAATATTTTACTTATTAAATATTTGAATTAGAGAATCTATGAGCCAAAAGTATGTATCCAACATTTAGTACATCGAATAGCTTGGAAATTATTTGAGTGTTACACAATGGTCAAAGAACTTTTCAATTTAGTCATTGGCGTGAATTTTGATTCCATTGGTCTTAAGACCCTCCTATATTTGTACTCATTATATGTCAAAAAAATATTATTTGCATTAGGAGTTTTGTCCACATTAAATTGATTTTTTTTTTCTCACTTTTAGATTTTGGTTATATAAGGTCTAGAAAAAGGATGTTTCGATTTTACCGATGACTGCATGGGAGTATAGGGTATTTTATCGTTTGATCTTTTGTAAGAAAATTTTAAAGAATGTTTTTATCCTATGATACATGATAGAGTAAAATTCATTTTTCGTCCTGCATGTTTACTTTTTTAAATATTTTAGTCCTCTTTGAATTGCGTTTTTGATTTTCGTCCCGTATGTTTGAAAAAAGGTTACAGAAAAGTCATTTTCTCAATAAAAAAGTCTTTTATGTTTTGCAATAAGGTGTTCCAATTTCATCCCTTATGTGTAAAAAAAGACCATTTTGTAATATTTTTTTCAAACATACGGGACGAAAATAAAAAACGCAATTCGAATAGGACTAAATGTTTGGAGGGGTAAACATACAGGATGAAAAATGTATTTTACTCATACACGATAAATATTAAATTCCTTTTATTTTAGTAACACAAATAAAATAAATAATTTGATATACGATTAAAATAAATATTAAACAATTTTAAGAGTGATAGGCGGAACAGTGAAGAGATGCACATATTATAAACCCCGGAAATGCTGAAATTGGAATGCTATTAAAAAATTTGGATAATCAATTTTTTTTAGTATAAGTCGTCCTAATGCACACTAGTACAACGCCCGTGTATTGTATGGGTGTTCATTAAAATAGTAATTGTCCAACAACAAGTGAAAAAATAAAATTCTTAAAAAATATAAAAAATTAATAAAAAAATATTTTTTATATTATTTTGAAACTTATAAAATATTTTTATGACGTATTACTTATTTTATTTAATATTTTTTTTTGTCAAAATTAGATAGATTAATTAATTTATTCGTAAGTTAATAACGCCTGTGAATATCACGGGCGTTTGAAAGTTAAATATTTGTATCAAAATAAAGAAATTAATAAATATATATTTTTATAATAGAATGATAAAAA